ACCAGTACTGCTCTGATTATTGTAGTTTTGTAGTAAGTTTGGAAATTGGGGAATATACGTCCAACTTTTTTTTTTTTCAGGTTTATTTAGGTTCCTTGTATTTGCATGAAGATTAATTTTCAATTTCTTTAAAAAAGTTAGCTGGCATCTTGATAGATATTGTATTAAATTTGTAGATGAATTTGGGGACTATATATTCTGATCTATGAAGATGGGATATCTCTTCATTTAGCTGGGTCTTTTTAAATTTCTTTCAGCAATGTTTTATGATTTTCAGTGTACAATCTTGCTCTTTGGCTATATTTATTCCGAAGTGTTTTATTCTTCTTGATACTATTGCAAATGCAATTGTTTGCTTAGTTTTGTTTTCAGATTTTTCATTGCTAGTGTACAGGAATGTGATTAAGTTTTGCATGTTTACATTATATCCTGTAGCTTTGCTGAACTCATTTATGCATTTTGATAAGTTTTTCAATGAATTTCTTAGGATTTTCTATGTACAAGTTTCTGTAATCTGTGAATAGAGATGATTTTACTTTTTTTCTTTCCAATCTGGGTACCTTTGATTATATTTTCTTGTATAATTGCCCTAGCTAGATGATCCAATACAATGTTGAATAGAAGTGGTGAGAACAGACGTCATTGTCTTGTTCCTGATGTTAGAGGAAAGCATTCTGCTTTTCTCCATTCAGTGGGAAGTTGGTTGTAAGTTTTTCATAGGTACCCTTTATACACGCTGAGCAAGTTCCCTTCTAGTCATAATTTGTTGAGGGTTTATTGTAAATCGGTGTTAGACTTTGTCAATTGCTTGTTTTGCATCTATTGAAATGATCACATGGTTTTGATCTTTATTCTATATTGTATTAATGTGGCCTTTTTAATTCTAGGTCTTCAGTCTTACTGGTGAAGCCTGCAAAAAGGTGATATTTAATGTACCTTCTAAACTAGAGGTAGACAAAATGGTCGGCAGAGGTGAGAAATTTCAAAACAGTCTTTTTAAAACAGACATATTTTTATTACTTGATCGCTCTTTGAGCTCAGGTGAATGACTTTTGGCTGAAGATAGTTGTATCTTAAAAGGCTCAAGCTGTATTGTTAAGGAATCTTTTCTGCTTGTTTATTCAGGTGTGTTTGTGGGTGTGTAGCTCAGTTTTCTCTTGATTGCATGTGCCCACCTCTTTAATTAGAAGATCATTTTTATAAGCCTATTTGAAGCATTTGGGGTTTAAAACACCTTATTTAATAGAAATATATAATCGAGGATTATTTTTAACTGAAAGAAAATTATAATTTTTTAATAATGTAAAAAGATGGGTTAAGATGTTTGCAAAATGCAAAGTGAGGGTTTATTTCATTCTACTTTATGATTTTGAAGAAGATTGTCTAAATTATTTTAACCCCTGTTTTTTTTGTTGTTTTTTTGTGTGTGTGTTT